AGTGGAACTTTTTTGTATATTTCTTTCGATCAAGGGATGGAATAGATGAAAAAGTTTTCTTCTCTTGAGCGTCGTCTCCGCTTCTGCGATTTTAGGGCATCGCCGCCGCTAGGGCTTTGCCCTAGCTTTGCTGGGGCTTGGAACTTGGCTTCGGATTGCTGTTCTCCAGGGAGTTTTTTTTGCCCTCTTCTATTTCTGCCTTCGTTTTTCTTTTCTTTATGGTGGTTAGTCGTGTTTGTGACCCCGGTTTTTCGGATGGATCCTTTAAATCGCGATCTTTTGTGGAAGCTTTATCTGGTTCTTCGATTTCAGTTAATTTTCCTGAGTTAAGAAAGGGTTTTTGTCGGGGTTTACCCTCTTTATGGATATCGGAGGAAGAAATTTTAGCTCTATCTGTTCCTTTTCAATATGCTCTTGTTGGTTTCTTTCCTACGCGTCGCCCTTCACTAGATGCTATCCGGAAATTTTTTTTCAGCTTGAAACTGAATGCTGAATTCTCTGTAACTGTTTTGGATCAATCTCATATTCTTATTAAGCTTTCTAATGATTTGGATTATAGTAGAGTGTTCAGCCATAGATCTTATATGGTTAATAACTGCTTTTTGAAACTTACGAAATGGTCGCCGGATCTTGATGTCGGGGTTGAATCTCCGGTAATTCCTATTTGGGTTGCCTTTCCCTGTCTGCGACCACACCTTTTTACCCCTCGTATCCTTCATGCCTTGGCTTCGATGTTTGGCCGTCCATTAAAAGTTGATAATTCAACCTCTGTCGGGTCTAGACCTTCTCTCGCGAGGGTCCTGGTGGAGCTTGACATCACTAAGGATCTTCCTGATAAAATTTGGCTTGGTTTGGAGAATTCTGGGTATGTTCAACGGGTTTGTTTCGAGGAGGTGCCAGCTTATTGTGTTGTGTGTAAACGGCTTGGTCATATCAAGGGGGATTGTGGTAATTTTTTCTGCTACTTTGAATGTGCATAAATCTCGTGAGAATGTGGTTAAGCCTGTTGATAATGTGAATAATGGTGCTGTTGTCAATGCTTTGGTCGTTGGTGAGGCACAGGTTGCGGGCGATCCTCTTGCTGTTCATGGGGATCGGCCGCTGCCTGTGAACGGATTTTCTGAGATTTTGGAGTCTTTGGTTACTTCTAATCCATCCGTCAGTTTACCCCCTTTGAATGTGGTTGATGTGGTTAATGCTGTGAATGATGTCCCTGGTAGGCGTGTTGATATCTGTTCTGTCTTATCCCCCGATGCAGCTCCTTTTGTTCCTCCGGTTGTGACTGATGTTAGAGACCCTGTTTCTCCGGTGATGGTGTCGGAGGTGGGTTCTGGTGCGATAAATGTGGTGAATTCTGATGGCTCGCCAGTTATGGGTGTTGTAAATTCGAATGGGGGTGTTCAAGTTTTAAAGGATGCAGATGGTAGTTCTGATGGTTTTATGCCTGTTGCGGTGGTGCCTGCTGAAATTGAGAAGGAGTTTCCGAATCTGGAGAGAGAGAAAGTTATTTCGATGACAAACAGTTTAGTTGTGGTCCCTGTAAGTGAGGTTGATACCCAAGTGATGGCTAACTGTGTGGGTAATTCATCTGGTTTGGATATTAGGAATCAGAATAATTGGTTGGTTGATTCGTCGGATGTAGATTCGGATTCGCAGTCTCTTGAGTCCGATCATGATTTTACTCTTGTGCGTACTTCAAATGTTGGCACTCGCGGAAAATTTTGGGGAAGAGGTCGGCGCAGAAAATGATTTTTCGTGTAGTAATTTTGTTGCTTCTTGCTGTTTCTTCTCGGGATTTGTCGGCTTTACTGTTTGATTTGCTGCTACGTGTGGCTATGAGCAATGATGTGGTCGGGGCTCGCGTCCTGGTCGTTCTTTGCTGGTGGCAACCGTAGGTGTGGATTCTCGGGTTGGATCGTTGGGATGCTTTCTTCGCTTTGAGTAGATTGTAAAAATAAATTTAAAAATAATGAAGAAATAGTGGCCAAAATTTGTTTCAAAAGAAGATTAAAATTACTATATAGTCATTATCATCCTGAGTCAACACATACAGTAATTCATCATTTTTAATATATTTGAAATATATAATTGATACGTCATCACAAAATTATCTTGATTGGGCACGAATCTCGAGGCAAAATCAGTTTATTAAACTTCAAAAATTAATTTTGGGAGCATATGAACTCCGATTTCAGCGAGCTTATAGTCAAACTGAGCGTCTCGAAAATACGAACCCAACGATTCCAAGATCAACCCAATCCGAGCCCAAATGAGTCTGAATCAAGGGTTCAAAGCGCTGTTGGAAGGTTCAAACCGCAATTTGAGTTACCAAACGGTCTCCGATTTTGACGAGCTTATACTCGAATCGAACGGCTCGAGTTTAGTATTTTATTCTGCTAGATTTTCTTTTTTTTGTTGATGTAACCTTTGTTTTGTGTTATTAATATATTTCCTTTAAAAAAAAAAGGTATGGAATAGATGATATTTCTTTACACCCTTTCGTTGGAACTATTAATCTCGACTTCGTCAAGCAATGCCACTATTGAATACATAAAATTAGCTAAGCTTCATACTCAAACTCCTTAACAATTGAGGTCACCTTGGGGAGAGTAATACACGCATTATCTTAGGCCCCCCATTCTCTATTATATGAAGCATATCTTAATGGAGCTCAGGGGAGTTGATGTAGTACACCAAGTGGTTAAATCCAATCAATTTATTGGATCCATTTCAGGAGCAAGAATAAAAGCCCAAAATTTCACAAATTGATGAAAAGAGCATATTTCAAAACCCATGAAAATGCCCTTTGTTTAATTATTTAAATGTAATTTTATTTTCTTAGTTTGCACTTTTTTACGTCCGTTAAATCACATATGGTTGAACAACTCAATGAAGAAGCATGAAAAATTAAAAAAAAAAATGAAAAATGTTGAAAATCTTTATTCCATTAAATGGCCATGCTATTCCTCTTTCCCTTCAAAATGGGGATGCTAAAGAGTCATTTTTTGCTTATAAATAAGTGTTGATATGCAATGAAATTTCTAGCATGGAAGAAAATCATTTGAGTGAGTTAAAAATACTTCATCTCTTTGCTTGTGCTTTAGTAGTTTTAAGGGTGCCTTTTATTTGTTGAGATAATGTAGTTATTTATTTATTTTTAAGTTTTTTGTTCTCCTCTTTCAAACATCTCATCTCAAATAATCTAACATACCCCCACACATTATAAGTCTCCTCTTTAGATTAGCCACTACCCAACCTAAGCCTCATAATCACATCAAAATTTCATTTGTAGCTCTTGACCATAGCAAGCAATGTTAGGACATAGTTTTGTTCCCTACTAATTGACATCTCATGAACTTGTAATTTAGGGTTTCATAAAAGAATAATACATTATCGGTAACTTCCAATCTTTATTTGCACATGAAGGTAATGCTTCATTCATCAAAATCAATTGAAATATGATTTTTAGTTATCTTTCATGCGTGGTCTATATAAAGATGAAGGGTTTTAGGGTTTAGGAAATAATTTTTTCCATAATTTATTGTTAATATTTTGTGTAGTGTTGTAAATGTGCCTAGTTGGCTCATGAGCCGACTCAAGCTCAACTAGTTAACGAGCTTGTCATGCCACGAGCTCGAATGCAAACAATGATTTGAGTAAGAGTATTGGGTGTGGGATGATCATGGTGTTATCTCTCAAAAAAATTATAGTTGGTCAAGCTTTCCAAAAACTCATTGTAGCTTGGGATTAAAATTCAAAGTGTAATGCAAGAGCGAGAAATGAGTGTTATGCTTTACTTATTCTTAAATGGGTAATGATTTAAACTTCTTTGTTACATGCTAATGCTACTTTTTTTTTTTTTTCGCTATACAGATTTTCAAGCTTTTGGAGGATAGCTATTAGCATTTACACCTTTACAATGGTGTTTTATGTTGTGGTGTAGTAGAAATTTAAATGGCAATGATGAACTTTTGTGATTTATAATTTTCTAGATAATGTTGTTTGATGCTATGTTTAAATTGCTAAAGTTTCTTTGTTTTTTTTTATCTGTGTGCAACCATTGGTGATAGATAAATTTATAATTGCTTATATGTTGTTTTTCAAATTGAGTTATGAGACTTACTTTTTATTTTTACTAATATGTCATCTGTGTATGACTTTATTATTGCCTTATTTGGTTGAATGCTTAGAAATATTGAAGTTCATACAAATAATTTGAGATTGATTTAGAATTGCTTATTTATTGTTTTTCAAATTGAGGCTTTATTCTAGATTTTTTTTATATATTTGTTTTTCAAATTGAGTTATAAGACTTACTTTTTATTACTTTCAAAAATATTACTTTCTCTATAGTTATTTTATAACTATTTTTATAAAAAATTGTAGTAGCCATCACAAACAGACTCTAAGTCAAAATTTATGCTGCCAAAATTTAAAAACACTTAATTATAATTTAATTGAAATGGTTGAATGCAAACCGAAAAAAAAGAATTTTGCTACATGTTATAAAGAAAAAAATTGAAAACTTACTTTTAATGTCTGTTATGTTAAAACAACTTCATTACAATTTAATTGGAAATTATTATTTATAGATTGCAGTAAAAATTTATTAAAATCTTACATCTATATGATCCTAATTTGAGCATTATAATTGGGCTCGAGTTAATGAGCCGAGCTTGAGTAGATTGTAAAAACAAAATTTAAAAAACAATGAAGAAATAGTGGCCAAAAAGTGTTTCAAACAAAGATTAAAATTACTATATGAAAGAGTTCTGGCGTGGTGAAGCTAGACACAGCGAACCAGATGTTCTTGCTGTGAGCGAAGAAGAAAAGAGAAGAGGGAAAGAACAGAACAGAACAGAAGAATTGTAATAGAAAGAGAAAATATTATTGAATAATGTTGTACAGTAATACACTTGTATATATAATAACTGAGAAACAAAAAGGTATAGGACTGTATATGACTGACGTGGATTAGTACGCTAACAACCCGCCTCAAATTAATCATTCTTGGATCGAATGGTTAATTTGGACATTAGTGTACTAAACCGCGTTGCTGAAAGAGACTTAGTTAAAATGTCGGCTGTTTGATCTTCCGAGCTGATATGCTGTATATTGATTTCGCCTTGTTTGATATGGTCACTGATGAAATGATAATCGTTTTCAATATGCTTTGTTCTTGCGTGAAAGACAGGGTTGTGAGCCAAGGCGATAGTCGATGTGTTGTCACAGTGTATTGTTGTAGGCTGTTTCTGGGGGATGTTGAAGTCGGCGAGCAACCGGCGAAGCCATATAGTGTCAGATGTGGCAGCTGATAGAGACCTGTATTCGACCTTTGTAGATGACTTGGCTACCGTAGCTTGTTTCTTGACCGACCATGCTATAAGATTTTGTCCCAAGAATGTGCAAAATTCTGTGATAGACTTCCGATTACTTGAATCAGCCGCCCAATCAGCGTCCGTGTATGTAGTGAGTTGAAGAATATTGCCGGATTTAATGGGAAGACCGAAGTCTATTGTTCCTTTCATATAGCGCAGAATGCGCTTGAGTTTAAGGTAGTCATGGTTGCTCGGTTGATGCATATGCTGACAGATGGAATTTGTTGCAAATGCAATGTCCGGTCGAGTGATCGACAGGTATTGAAGGGATCCTGCTAATTTCCAGAAATGCGTTGGGTCGGAGAACGGCTGAGTATCTCGTTGTTCTTTACACTTTAGTCCTAACGGAGTGGCTGCCGGTTTGCAGTCAGAGAACCCGGCGTGTGTTAGGAGATCCCTGGCATAGTGTTCTTGATGTAGAAAAACATCGTGCTTTGTTTTGACCACCTGTATACCGAAGAATAAGGAAACGTCTCCAAGCTGTTTTAAACGAAAAGCGGAATGGAGTTGTTGCAGAATATTTTGTATTGCTTGGCTGTTATTTCCTGTAATTAAAATGTCATCAACGTATATAAGAATGAAGATATAAGCATTATTATGATTAAGTATGAGCAAAGAAGGGTCCGCTTTACTGAATTGGAACCCAAGATTGTGTAGGAATGAGGTGAATTTTTGAAACCACTGTCGCAGTGATTGTTTTAATCCGTAGATGGATTTGTTTAGCTTACAAACGTGAGTCGGGTGTTGAGGATCCGTGAACACAACTGGTTGTTTCATGTATACTTCTTCTGACAAATTGTCGTGGAGAAAGGCATTTGCAACATCGAGCTGAATTACCGGCCAATGATGTGTGAGAGAGACGGTGAGTAAGATTCGAATTGTAACCATCTTCGCAACTGGGCTAAATGTTTATGTATAGTTAACTCCAAATTCCTGTGAGCACCCTTGCGCAACTAGTCGAGCTTTATAACGATCGAGCTGTCCATTAGGTTGATGTTTTGTCTTATACGTCCACCGGCAACCAAGAATTGGTTTGCCAGTTTGGCGCAGGACTAAGGACCATGTTCAATTTTGTTGTAGAGCTCGAAATTCTTCTGTCATTGCATTGCGCCAGTGATCGTATTTAGATGCTTGTTTGTAGGAGGTGGGTGTTTGTACCAGATTAGGAACAACTGAGAGATCGAAGATTGTTTTTGGCTTGAGCGTTCCTGAGCGAAACCTGGTGAGCATAGAATGTTTAGAAACGGACTGGTGAATAATAGGTCCTCCGTTGGGTATAGGATTTGCAGTAGAGACCGAATCCGAGTCCTGAACAATGGTAGGTAATTCTTGTGTAATTTGAATGGTAGGAGGAGGTTGTGTGATGGGGTTATTCGTCTGAGACGTAGGAATGAGCATAAGAGGGTTGTGGCTGGTGGGTGAGGGCGGCATGGATTGTTCAATTTGAGTGGGTTGGAAGGGAAATTGTGTTTCGTAGAAGGCGACGTGTCTGGATAGGTAAATACTTTTCGTTGTGATGTGAAAGCAGCGGTAGCCCTTGTATTGAGCTGAGTAGCCAAGAAAAACGCAAGCCAGAGAGCGTAGAGGCTTGTGGTTTAGTCCAGGGAAAACAGAGGCATCTAAATGTGCGAAGGTGATGGTATGCCGCTGAGTAGCCATATAGTAGGTGGTAAGGGGTTCGGTTTGATAATGACACCAAAGGTAGCCGATTAATGAGGTAGTTCGCGGTGGTGACCGCCTCCACCCAGAATGTAGACGGTAGATGTGCCGCGTGAAGGAGTGTGCGCGTAGATTCGAGTAGGTGGCGATGTTTCCGTTCAGCTATTCCATTCTGTTCCGGCGTGTACGAGCAACTCAGTTGATGAGTGATGCCGTGACTCAGTAGATAATTCTTGAATTCGGTACTGGTGAATTCACCACCTCCATCGGACCTGAATGTTTGAATTTTGGCTTCAAATTTTGTTTGAACAAAATCATTAAATTGTTTAAATTTGGAAAAGACTTCGTTCTTGAATGTTAACAAGTATAACCATGAAAATTTGGTAAACTCATCAATGAATAAAATGTAATAAAAGAAACCATTCATAGAAGCTACCGGTGCCGAACCCCAGGACATCCGAGTGGACTAACTGGAACGGCTTATTACATTAAGAAAGACTAGGTAAGAATGGAAGTATATGACTCTTGAACACATTGCAAGAGACGCAGGCTTCGGACGAGGAAGTTGAGCCGGCGAGTTCAGGAATGTGGTTGATCAGAGATCGGAGAAGCCGAGAGTGTGGATGTCCCATTAGTTATGAAGACGAATTCTAGCCCATTGTATGTCGTCGAGTTCTGCATATTTGAAGCATCGGATGTTAAGTGAGAGGATGCTCCCGAATCCAGTATCCAGTCCCCTGTAGACGATAATTGCTGCTGTACCGCCAGAGCCTTGGTGTTTGAGGGCGGTGCGTATTGCAGGTTACACTTGTGCCAGCAATTTAGAGCGTCGTGGCCTAGTTTGCCGCAAATTTGGCAGCTCGGCCTGTTGGATGATGTTCTTGTGTTGTTCTGCGTATCAGATGTGGATGGAATTATTGAATTGTTGTTTCGCCCTCGATACCGATTTGCTCGGCCTCTGTTGTTACGATTGGAGAAGAATGCAATGTTGTCCGATTGAGATTTGCTTTCTTGATTGCGTTCATGTTGGAGATTAATCTCCTCGCTGGAAAGTAAAGAATATAAAATATCTAGACTAATTGGGTTTAGAGAAGTCCTGATTGCAGTTTTGAACGGATTATAGGCGATGGGGAGCCCATTCAGAATGTACAGAATTATATCTTATGTATCCACTTTAGATCCTGCCGCGACGATGTTATCAACAAGAAGCTTAACTTGATCAAGATACTGATACATGGTTCTGTCCTTCATTTGAATTTGATGAAGTTCATTTTTGAGTTGTATGACCCGCGAGCGATTCGTTGGTTGAAGTCGCCTTTCGAGCGTGATCCAAACTTCATGGGCTGTTTGCAGAAAGAGAACATAGGAAAGAATAGAAGAGGATATTGTAGAAAGAAGAGCGGATACCAGATTTCGATCAATCAATTTCCATAGATTATGCTCGGTTTTGGACGATTCTGACGGACATACGGTGAGTCTCGTGAGATGATCGCTGAATCCATTGGCGGCAAAATGTTGATGGAGTTGTAGGCTTCATATGGCGTAATTGTAAGTAGTCAGCTGATTGGGAACTAAATTCTTGATGTTGGAGATCAAGAATTTGAGAGGTGTAGGGATCACGAATTCTACCAGAGATGCCAAAATGTTTGAGTCCGTCTGTCGGGATGTTGCAGAGTCTTGTTCGGCCATGATCGAGGAGCTGTGGAGCAAGATGCTCTGATACCATGAAAGAGTTCTAGCGTGGTGAAGCTAGACACGGCGAACTAGATGTTCTTGCCGTGAGCGAAGAAGAAAAGAGAAGAGGGAAAGAACAGAACAGAGCCGAAGAATTGAAATAGAAAGAGAAAATATTATTGAATAATGTTGTACAGTAATACACTTGTATATATAATAACTGAGAAACAAGAAGGTACATGACTGTATATGACTAACGTGGATTAGTACGCTAACACTATATAGTCATTATGATCCTGAGTCAACACATACAATAATCCATCATTTTTAATATATTTGAAATATATAATAATAAAAAATAATATTTTGATCAAACTATATATATATTAGAAATTTTTTCATTACTTCCTTCAGATTTCGTAATCTTTACCTCTTACTTCTCCTACTGTTCAGTTGTTCTGCTCTCTCTACCTCGATCATAATGCCTGGATTTCCCAAATCCTCTTTTTTGCTGGATTAAGGTTTATGAGGGCGAAGAGAGAAGTCCGCTCTATAACCATAACAGTTACATGGTTATTTTAATAGGAATTTAAATCATGAAATGTTACCAAACAATTTCAGGATCTAGGCCCTCAAGATTTCAGAAATCGGATTTAAAGGATTTACGAATTCTACTTAAACATAATCCTGAGTGCTACCAAACAGACCCTTAAACTGGCTTCTCGCTGTTTCTTCGGAGGGTGATTTCTCTTCTAGCAATTTTTGAAAGCTCATTTTCTTGGGCTGCTATTTTCCTTGCTTAGACGCTAAACATTAATGCAGGTTTTTCCACGGCATCATGGTAATTTCCACTCTCTAATGGATGTAAAATTGAATATTTCTCTGGCTAGATGGTTTGCTTGGTTCTCTCTTTTTCTATTTTAGCGCTCTTTGGTTATGTGGGAT